TTTTTAAAGGAATCAATGTTTAAACTTACCATATTGCAAAATAGTCATTTATTACAAATTTGGAAAATATAACAGAAAAAAAAAGACAACAAATAACCACATGGTAAAAAGTATAAAATAACAGTGGAAAATATAATTAAATATTGTGGCCTTTTAAAAAGAAAAAACACCAAAAAAAGTTTTAAACATCAAAGAAAAGTATTTGTATTTAATAAAAAAAAGAACCATATTGTTATGTCATCTCTGAAATTTTTATTAGATGAAACATTATTTTTTTATTTGTATTCCTTTCATCTTAATTTTTAGCTTTTGATAGCTTAGCCTTCAGTTTTTGATTTGTGTCATTTATTCAAACTGATGGAATGAAAGTTAATGAAGATCCAATAAAAAGCAACGACAAAATTAAGATGAAAAACTTACTCGTTGGAAAAGGATAATAATTGACATTTGCATTGTTAAAATAATTTGTTTTTCTATTTCATTCAGATTTGTCCTTCAAAATTATTTATCTTGCTCTGAATGTTATTTTCACTTTTTTTCAGCTTTTAAAACTATTTTGCAATGTAGTATTTTTTGTAACAACAAAAATGTAGCCAATTTCATTTAATTGGGTTAGCAGTAAATCAGGGTATTGATTAATTTGTCCCCTTGAATGAACAAAGCAAAGTGCGTTTTTTTTTTTCCTGTATTTTAATCTATCTCAGTCACATTGTTAGGAGCAATCTTTTCAAGTACAGGTACTATTATGTGTGTCATTTAGTGTATGCAAAATACCAAACCCCTAAAGTTATGATGCTCTGGAAAGAAGAATTCTAAGAAAATTGCTTTTTGGAATAATTCTATGCCAAAATAATCAAAGAATCTACTTGTCTACCTACAAAAACAGGTAAGATAAACTTCAATATAAATGAATGTAAAATGTAAAAAAAATTTTCAAAATAGGAAGAATATGAACAAATGATTAAGAGGGAAGCAAAAACCGCTGTAAATTAGTTACAATGCCATTTCTTTCAAGAAGGTAATGATGGCAGTTCTTCACCCCAGAGGGTGACACTAATTTTATTTGTATGCAAATCAGTTTAGAGACTGAAGTAGAAAACAATAAGTTCAACATACTTTGATTTGTTCAAACTATTGTATAGACATGATGTTTCAACCAAGTAACCCGTGGCCATCATCAGGTGTCAACTATTTTGGCTGATATTGATATTCTGGTAGCCATTGCCTTATAAGGAAACATTCATCATTTATTAATCAAACAGCAAGTATTGTTGTTGGTTGAAATTTATTATAATCTTTCTCTTAGTTGTTATCGCTCTTTCCAGTATTGATGGGGGTTTTCTTCTTAACCTTTTGTTTGAAGTAGTTTGGAATGTCAACATGTGTTGATTATTGTTATTTTTTTGTTTTTTTTAATAAAAAACTGATGATTGCCAGATGGTACTTAGCTGAAACATTGTTTATAATAACATTTCTAACCAAATCAAGAAGAGAATAAATCGAATGCATATACGGACAATTCCTCATCCCTAAAAAACAAACTAAAATAATTTTCAGTAATTAAATTATATTTAAAGTATGGGAATAAATTTAACCCTAGAACACTAACCATGGGTATATAGTACCCAGCACAAATTTTCCTATTTTTAATTACAAATTTCAGTACCTGATTTTCTTACCTAAATAAAATGTTTTTCAGTTCCTATTAATGTTAACTCAAAGGACAAAGTTTGAAGTGCCTGCATGTAAAATATTTCAGATAAAGATTTATATTTAATAATTAATACCGATGGTTAGTAGTGGTGTAACTTTAATTGGTGGTTAGTGTTCTAGGGTTAAATATTTAAAAAATTATTTTGTCAAAAAATTTACTGAATATAAGACTTCAATATTGAAACAATTTTTTTTTTTAAATTAAAGATGAAAAATAATTTTCTGCTGTTTCCTACTATACAGTAAAAAAAAAAAATTATATATATATATATATATATATAATAAATTGTTTTTATGTCGTTTATACAAGTGGGGGCAGCAAACCAAATTGGCGTATTTCATCTGTGTCCCAATTAACTGAAATTGATATATAACAAATTTGAAACAAATTCCCGACATATGTTCACTAATTAATTATCTAAGAAAATCCGTTGTTTCAGAACCCGTTCAAGATGCAAAAGGGGGATAACTCGGGATAAATTTAAGGCAACTACTGAAACTATAACTGGTTGCACGGATTCTAAGTAGTTGCCTAATAAAGGTGGTGAGGTGGGTTGTCTTTAAGAAAGGAGAACAAGGGAGACAACTCTAAAAATCTTAGATTAAGGGAGATAAATAGAATACAAAACTATATTAATGGAACCAACGCTGAAAGGAAACCAATATTAACAATGTTGTATGGGCTTCCCACATTTTGTTTTTCTCTCTCTTCTTGCCTCAAGGACAACAAACATTTCACAAAAAAAAGGCAGTAATTTTCAGTAAAGAGAGACAGACAAGTGGAAAGTTAACATTTTTCAAACATCAGAGCCTATTTCCATCTGCAGAGAAAATCGTTTATTATGATCGATTTGGGACAAGGTTTTTTTTATCTTTTATTTTGATAACAATAACTGGTTAATAACATTAAGCAAAAGATATCAAAACTGGTAAAATTTAGAATCCTTGTTCTGAACAACTTTACATTATAAAAGAAAAACAAATACAAAATTTATTAACTTCAAATGATTTGTATTAAGAATTATTTAAAATCGTTAACACTTGCTGCCTGGTCATGTTGGCCCATTTTAAGAAAATTACCATTTACTGGAAATAAATGGCTATAAAGATTCTAATGATGATTATTCAGGCGTGCTACCTTTTTTGTTTTGATCAGTTATTCTACAGTACAGACTAAGCTTAATGACATCCTCAATACATAATATAATAAAAATATGACAATTACATTGTATGTTACTATAAGTCTAGGGTGATTTGGTTATAGTATTAAGCCAGAGTTAAGTTCCAAACACTAACAAATACTTTACCTCAACCTAAAACAGAGATCAGCAAAATTTCCAAAAACTTACATTGATCAATAGTTTATTTACAAACAACTAAATCAGCCCTGGTTAAACTTTTCCTCACCTGTAGTCACACTTCTAGGTCTTTATGAAACTTACATTGTCTACGGCCAATACATACATACACACATTTTTATATATATATATATATATATATATATATATATATATATATATATATATATATATATATATATACATACATACACATATACATACACACACACACACAAAAAAAATAAAGTGTCTTAGTTTTTCACAAATTACAATATTTGTTTAGAAAAATTTTTTTCATTACTGTTTGTTGTCAATTATTTTTTGTACATTTATGTATTCAAACTACAATTTAAATAAAAACGAATCAATGCTACAAACTACCTTTTTATCCTAAAAGCTAAAACTTACTAAAAATTTTAAGCTTGCCACAGCAGCCTTTTCTTTCTTGAATCTGAACAATACCCTCAATACCTAACATCTCAGATGTTTGGTTTAAAGGAGTTGTACTGTATATTTTTTTTATTTAAATAAAAGTTTTTTTTTATTTTCAAGTGAATAAAGTAAAAATTAATCACATGAAGCACTGTGCTAATCACACTGTCAAACGTTTATACATATGTTCATCTGTAGTGTAAATGAGTGAATCATGAAAAATTACCTTGAATCTTTTTAGTAGTGTGGTCTGCCTCATGATAAGCTATATCTTGTGCAGCCCACTAGTCAGAAAAGTTTGCCTGTACCTGGTCTATTCTCTCAAGGGATTGGAGGTGTTTTTTTTTTTTATTCTTGTTATTTCTGAGTTGATCCCTACTAGTGATGACTATAACTGCAACTGGACTAATTATAGTCTAGTAGATGCAAAAGATGACAGTAAGGAAAAGTACTAAGTAATTTCTAAAGTCTCTTTGAAACGAGAATAGACCAAAAAATTGTATCTGTTGAAAAGTGTTTAAAAGCAACAGAAGATAAAGTTCACACATTTCCCCACCATATAAGACACGTCTACAAAAAAAAATCAAAAAAAAAAAAATCCTGTGTCCAGAATTCAGGTAGGAATATTTAAGAGAAACTAAAACTATAACTTTAATGAGTAAATGTTTATTTATTTATTTTTTTTTTTCTATTAACATTTTGATTTTTAATTTTTTTATGCACTATCAAACCTTTGCCAGTTATTAAAATCAGAAAATATTTTTAGATTGTAAGAATTGTTTGTTTTGTTTTTATAAGTGATACAAATCTTACTAATTAACCCAAAGCTTGGGGATGGAGAGAAAAGGTGGATTCATAACTAATCAGAAGTTGATTAACAAGGAATTATGGTGCGGACATAAAGCAGGGGATTATTTGTATATTACAAACAATATGTAAACCGATCCCTCACTTTGTGTCCACCATATTTTCTATACATTTCTATTCCAGAGAATGTAAATAAATCTAAAAGACATGCCTGTGTAGCTAATCAGTATTTCATTGATTAATTCGTTTTCTATGGCGTATCAACAAAGAAATTATTATGTGGATATAAAGTGGGGGATCAATTCTATATTACAATCAATACATAAACTGAGCCCTTACTTTGTGGCCATGGTAGTCTCTATACATTTATATTCCAGAGAATGTAAATAAATCTAAAACACATGCTTGTGTAGCTAATCAGTATTTCATTGATTGATTCGTTTTCTATGGCTTATCAACCCTTTGAGGGTTATTTAAAGCCAGAAAATATATGTGTAGAGTGCGAGAATTTTTTGGAGAGAAATAATAATAATTTAGTGACACAAGTTTTACTAATTAACCCAAAGCTGGGGGGAGAAAAGGTGGATTTATATCTTTACCAAAGGTATTTACATGCAAGTGAATATAATGAACCCAATAGGAATTGGAACTTGGCTCTCCATGTAACAATTCTGAGCCATTATCCATTACACCACCTGCACATTCAAGCTTACAGAACATGGTATTCTCAAGCAGTCACTCATCTCGCTACTGACCAGACTTGATGTTGCTTAACCTCGGTGATCATATGAGAACCAGTGTTTCAATGCTATGTGGCCGTAAGCATTTTGGTTTTTAATCAGAATTGCAAGTGATGTAATGGTTAGAGGATTGGAGCATACATTGGTGAGCCAAGTTTGAAATCTGGTTGAGATCGTTACATTCACTTTTGCAAAAAATACCCATGGGAAAGGTATGAATCCATCTCCTCTTCCCTCCAGCTATGAGTTAAATAGCAATTCAGACTGAACTCTTTAGCCATGGCTGGCAACCAGTATAGGAGAGAGACAAGTCAGAAATTAAATATTGTATGTAGCCCTGGTAGGGTACATACTTTGAACTGTAACTAAGGTCCGCTCAGCATAGTTGCAGTATAAACCACAGATTGGCTCTGTAGGTGTTGAGGAAACACAAATGGGCCTAAGCAGATGCACATGCTCGAAAAAAAGCAGCCATATTGAAAATCAAAAAACATTGATTTGCAGTGTGTTGAAACAGCTTCGATGACGAATCGGAATTTAACACTTTATAACCAAATTTTATTCTGGGAACATCAGGGGACCAGCGTGTTAAGCAGGTGTGTTTAGGTATTAGTTTACTACTGGTAAAATCTACCCCAACCATTTGAGTATAAGTTGGTGATAGCTTAGATGTGGCACAAGGTCAAAAGTATGGGGCACCCAGTGAGGATCCAACTCATTATTCAGTTGTAATTGATCTAGCAAGATAGGTTGGTTACCATTACATTACATTGAAGTGCCCCATTTGGGCATAAGATGTAGGGTGATATTTTTTTGCGGGGGGTTCATTTGTTGGGGAAGAAAAAGATTGCACCTTATATGGTGGGAAGTAGAATTCTTGGAACAGCAAAAATATTTGAGAAAACAACGAGAGGAAAAGTCGTTCAACCAAATCCCAAGCGATTACGATATAGCTGCTGGAAATTGATTTGTTATACAACCATCGAATTTGTAAGATTACATTTTTGTTCTTAATCTTCCAGAAACCAGAATTGTTACCGCCATTTATACATGCAAACTATTTTCTTTACATTCTTTCAAAGCTTGATGGAAAGGCAACCAATTTAAAAAAAAAAAAAAAAAAAAAAAATTTCAAAATGGTGGGGGAATGAATTGCATATTGTTTGCAAACAGGCAGACAGCCAGAAAACCTTTCATTAGTGAATGAAATAAAAAAGAATAAATGTTTATGTGGAGGATTAGGGTTGTAGAACCATTGAATTTTTTGGCATTAAACCTGCCCAAACCCGTCTCGTAAATATCGGCTGTCAATGTTCAACCTGCTTCATGTATACTCTGCCATAATATATGACGACATCCTCAAAAATAACACAGAAAAGTCACACAAAGAATGACACTTTGACCACAAACAGAATTTGAGAGCAGATGTTTACGGCGCAGTTTTGAGTGTGTTGAATGCTAATGGTTTAAGGTTTCTTCTGTATTCAAAGTTCACATGCTGATAATGCTTGACCATGAAAAAAAAAAAAAGAAAAATTCCTATTTTATCTGAAACTAAATGCACTCATGAAATCTTTTCTAGAAACTATTCCATCTGTTATAGGTTAACAAATATAAATAGCTGGAAGAAAAACAGCCTCTACCTTCCAAAATAAAATCAATTTGGGAATTTACTATCAAATGAACACTGGCTCTTGATTCCCCAAATTAAGTGACACTGTGTATTATTTAGATGGGTGACCACTTAGGACCACCAGGTATTGTAAACAATGTGTGGCCTTGTGCCAGACTAAACAAAGCTTAGTAATTAAAGAGAGACAAGTTCTAGAAGAGGAGGAAGGAGAATGTTAAACAAAAAAACTATTCAATCTCCAGAGGTAAAATTCCTTGTGCATCCAGATCTCACATACTGATCAGGATTACAAAAAATCTGAAACTTTGATTCTGATGAGAAAAATTGTTTAACATGACACAGGGAACCAACTTTCCTAGCAGCAGACCTAGCAATTGATTCAATATAATCTTTCCATTTTATGTCAGTGGGAAATGTTAGTCACAATAAGTCACTCTCCTGGAGGTTAGCAGCAGCCATGATGATGGAAGGCAAAAAGGGTTCTCTGAAATAATTAAAAAAGAGCAGGTTTGTTATGGAGCTGTTAATTTTAACAAGCCATTCCTTGCCCAAGTTAACAACAGAAAGATGATTGTGTAGAAAGTTCAACAAGATGAAGATATATGTAGAGGATAATTATTGGGTTGAGCAAAAGTTTTGTTTCATTTGTAAGTAAATTTCCCAGTTAATAAAGCAAACAAATTTTAAGGTTTCTCTTTGGCACAACCAAATTGCCAGCACCATTTCTCTTGTACTTTGGAGCCCATTATTAAGTCAAATTTATAAATTGCTTATTTCTGGGGTTGACTATGGGAAATTGTAAAAATAGACAAGGAAAGAACAGCCACACACTCTTTCAGGAACCAAATTAGAATTTTTTAAGAAAATTTTCAGATTCTACAGAAATTAATTAATTACTGTATTTTCGTGTGTCAAATTGGAAAGATTGTAAATGGCACAAAAAACAGGTGATTTAAAAAAATATTGTCCCACGGGTGAGAAAGCCAGAATCAATGGAGGGTGTCCCATATTATCAAAAGCCAGAAATCGGGAGGGTGTCCCACGGGTGAGAAAGCCAGAAATCGGGAGGGTGTCATTTCGGGTGAGAAAGCCAGAAATGGGGAGGGTTCCTAATTTTTGAAAAGCCAGAAATCGGGAGAAAGCCAGAAATCGGGGAGGGTGTCCCACGGTGAGAAAGCCAGAAATCGGGAGGGTGTCCCACGGGTGAGAATATTTCTAAATCGGGAGGGTGTCCCACGGGTGAGAAAGCCAGAAATCGGGGAGGGTGTCCCACGGTAGAAAAAGCCAGAAATCGGGGAGGGTGTCCGGTGAGAAAGCCAGAAATGAAATTTGAGAAAGCCAGAAATCGGGGAGGGTCATTTTTTATTGAGAAAAATCGGGAGGGTGTCCCACGGTGAGAAAGCCAGAAATCGGGGAGGGTGTCCCACGGGTGAGAAAGCCAGAAATCGGGGAGGGTGTCCCACGGGTGAGAAAGCCAGAAATCGGGGAGGGTGTCCCACGGGTGAGAAAGCCAGAAATCGGGAGGTGTCCCACTTGAAAGAAAGCCAGAAATCGGGAGGGTGTCCCACGGGTGAGAAAAATCGGGGAGGGTGTCCCACGCGGGTTTGAAAGAAATGTCCCACGGGTTTTAAAAAGGGCTGGGAGGGTATTGAGAAATGTGTGAAAAGAAACTATTAGAATAGTTGAGTGTGACCAGTTTGAAAACCCATCAAAGATGGCCATTGGAAGTGAGAAAGTTAAGATTATCTCACAAGCTGTTGCCATTATGTTCAATCTTTATTGGTGGCTCCCACTTTTGCTATCTTGTGCCTGACAAAAGCTGTCTGTGACAGAGTAATGATAAACTGATCTCAAAAGATGTTGGAATTAATTGCCACTCTGAAGAGATTATTGTCTTAAGACATTAAGCATTATTATTGCTGTTTTGAGGAAAAGATTTTAAGAAAATGAATTTGTAAAGAAAAAAAAATATATAAAGGAAAAAATATTTAAATAGAAAAAAATATTTTTTTAAAATTTACAATTTAAAATATACAAAATAAAATGTTATTATCCAAATCTTTTCGCTAGCATCGTTGGTCAGTTTAAAGAAAGAATAAGTAGAGTCATAGACCAAATAGCCGAAAAAAGTTCTGTAGTGAAGATGGCTTTTGTAGGAGATTTTTTTGGGGGGAATGGGTGTGTATTCTGTGCAGAAAGATTGTAAAAATGTTTTTATTTTTACATTTTCTTTTTTTTATTTAATCGAAAAAAATAAAATGAATTGCTTATTTTGAAAGCTTTTAAGAAAGTATTTCTTAAAAATGACAATAATTACCATATTTTCTTTTGCATAATACGATAAAATTTGAATGAAAATTAAAGGCAAAAAAGGTGGGGGAGTGCGTGTTATACACAAGTACATGTTTTCAGAAATAGCAAGATTGCAAATATGCTTACTTAGCTCTATAGATAATAAAAGACAAAGTAGGCAGGTGTTTATAGGTATTTGATGTCGATAACATTTGTTTCTCTTTTCCTTTTTAATGTTATTCTTAATTAAAGACAATATTTTTTATTTTTAGTTTTGAATATACTACGATCACGAGACCCGTAACTCATTAAGGTTATAGGAGCACAATTATTATGTTGTCCTGGGCAAGATGGAGTCCAACCTTTTTATGGTGGGTTTTGAATTCAGAGTTTTTCCTTCTCCTAGACCAGTTGCCACCCAAGGCTATAGGACCCACTCAGTTCTGCTATTTACCCATACCTTTACCTTTCACTTAAGTGAATGTTGTTGGAATTTTTGGGTACCTGGTGTACTAGTGAGCCAGCCAAAATGAGTTGACTCATTTTATAGTTCACCAATAGAAGGGTTAACCAATCAGAGGGCTCAAAATATTCAATGCGACGTGTATAAAGGCGGCCATGTTTTTCCCGAATATTCAGTGCCAGCCTTTGATATCGAAAATTGAAGAATTACGGAACAGCTGCTGGTGGTATTGGCGATATGGTTAGATTCAGTTGAGTGTCTGACTCGTGAGTGTTAATCTTTAACGTTGTTTCATTGAACAGATTACGTACTGCGCTGTATTCTATATTCATAGACTTAACGAACATGGTCAACAAATGTAATGAGCTTGACTGGGATCTGAACACAGCTCTACAATTCCTCAATTCAAGCCATTATCCATTACAACCCTGTGCCTTCCTTTTAATATATAGAAATATAATAAAGTCATATCAAAACAGAAAAGTATGATAGATTAATTAACACCTTAAAATGTATTATCAGGTGTATCTAGTTAGCACTTTTCCCTGAAAATTCAAAAATAAGTTTTCAATGTAAATTAGGAGAAGAAATAAGCAATAGCTAAACATCCAGTTTATTTGTATCGTTTAATATCATGAAAAATTAAATATCTTAGTGAAATACGGCATTGAGATTTTAATGGATAATTTATATTTCCATATAATACTCAAAGATTAAATTTATTGCCTGTCTTTAGATTCTGAAACATGCAGTCGTATTACTGACATGAGAAAACAGTAAATATTGCTTAGAGCAAAAATTTTGGTTTTCTTAGTTTGGTTTGGTTTACGGCATATCAACCTCAATGGGTTATTTTAATGCCGGCAAAATTTTCATTGTTGGTAATATTTTTTCCGAAAATCTTTCTGGTAATAATTTTCCTTTGCCAATCTATTTCTGGTAATAATTTTCCTTTGCCAATCTATTTCTGGTAATAATTTTCCTTTGCTGGTAATTTTTTTTTTTTTTTACAAAGCATTTCTGGTATAAAACCTATTTTTACATTTTCCTAGTGTTTTGACCCCAGTTTGGGGCTTAACTATTTACCCATTGTTGGAACCCTAACAGGTGCTACCAACCTGGATCAGGGTGAACCTAGGAACCCCAACAATTAAGAGGTGGTTTCATGCTCCTCAAAACCTCCTGATCAGAGGCCTTGCTGTTGGACATAGTTTATTGTCTTACCCAGGACGTGGATGTAGTTTATCACCATAACTAGGATGGGGGTTTTCTTGGGGAAAATAAGAAAAAATAAAATGAGTTTAGGAAACAGAAGAAAGCAATATAACTTTGAGAGAAAGATGAAGCTGGAAGTTCAAAGAATATATGGAATGGTGAAAAGACCTCATCTAGTAATTAAAAAAAAAAAAAAAAAAAAAAAAATGAAGGACACCAAAATGTGATAAAAACAACAAAGATAAAGATACCAACAAAATGAGCATTTGGAACCTGGATTCAGGATCAGAATGTTAACCATTTAATTGAAACTGTAAATACAAGAGAATCAGAATCCGTTGGAGAATCGGATTTCTGGGATGCATAATGAGAGAAGAGGGCTTGGAGAATTTGAAACTCACAGGAGCAGAGCGAAATGGTGAGTAACTGTGGGTGCGTGGCAAAACAGGGATTGGGAGGGATAAAAGGGTACAGAGCTACAAAAGATAGGAAGTTGTGGAGAGCCATGATCACTCATGTCCTGAAGAGGCATTGCACATAAGAGATACAAGAAATTATTGAAAACATCAATCTGAGGCAAACTCTTTGTCAGGTGAAGTATGTTTTATCAGATTTTTTTTTGTAGTAAACATAGGTGTAGGTGGTCTTGGAGTCAGTGGCTTGGAGAGCTGAATAGATGAACAGTGTTCAAACTCTAACTGGGACATTTTGGATTTACTTTACAGTGAAGCTCTTGTGAAAGGAATGAATCTACTTCTCCCTGCAAGCTATGAGTAAGTTGGAACGTTTTAGCCCTGTTAAATCCTTGAAGAATTTAAATCAATTTAAATGGTGTTTTTTAATTAGCCTGAAGAAGTTTATGTATTACCCCAAAACCTGAAAATTTAACCTTTATCACCCTGTATGTGATTTTAGTTATTTGCACTATTTATATTGTTTGGACTGTCGTCCTCATATTCATAACATTTTGGCTATTGTACGCTCCGACCTTTTCAGGTGATTTTCAAACTGGGGCCTATATTTTCAACCAGCTTAAATATTGTGAATATGGTAATAAAGATGAGGGCAACAGTCCAAACAATGCAAGTCATGTAAAATATTTACAATACCTCATCTCAGGAATATAGACAGTGACTTTGCATGCTGTGCAAAAAGTCTAGCCTGTCACTGAATGCAACTGTTCCCTGAATTTGAATTTGTTTGAATTTCATAGTTGTGTTGTCATATGGCAGAAGAAAACACCTTTGAGTAAAATTAACAAGGTTAGTGCAATTGAGAAGCCTTGAAAATAAATTCATTGGAAAGGGAAAATGTAATATTAATAATGCAGAGGGCTAAAGGTTAAAAGTCAATATATTGCTGATTGACGATATGTAAAATGAAAATTTCAAATTACTGTATTTGATGACCAGCACATAAAAGGAAAAAAAAAAAAAAAGGAAAGAAAAGAAAAAAAGGAAAGAAAAGAAAAAAAAGAAAGAAAAGAAAAAAAAGGAAAGAAAAGAAAAAAAAAAGAAAAGAAAAAAAGGAAAGAAAAGAAAAAAAAGGAAAGAAAAGAAAAAAAAAAGGAAAGAAAAGAAAAAAAGGAAAGAAAAGAAAAAAAGGAAAGAAAAAAAGGAAAGAAAAGAAAGAAAAAAGGAAAGAAAAGAAAAAAGAAAAAAGGAAAGAAAAGAAAGGGGAGGAAGAAAAGAAAGGGGAGGAAGAAAAGAAAAGGAAGAAAAGAAAGGAGGAAAAGGAAAGGGGAAAGAAAAGAAAGGAAAGAAAAGAAAGAACTTTAAAAGAAAGGGAGGAAGAAAGGAAAAGAAAGGGAGGAAAAGAAAAGAAAGGGAGGAAAAGAAAAGAAAGGGAGGAAAAGAAAAGAAAGGGGAGGAAAAGAAAAGAAAGGGGAGAAGAATCTCCCAGTATCCTATCTACTTAGTTGAGGTTTCTCATGGGCTAATTTTATGCTCAATGCTCCCTCATCTCCGATGGTCACTTCTAATTAGCCTGACTCCATATTTACTCAAATACCATTATTAGTATTCCTAATACTACTAGCGCCACCAATACTATAATGATTTATCAACTCTTTGTGTGTTATTTAAAACTGAATCATACTTTTTAGATTGTAAGAATGATTCTATTTTTTTTGTGATTGAATATTACATTCACTATTTTTGTGAGATAATGATTTTTCCAGATACAAGATCTGTTATTTAACCCATAGCTGGTGGGAGGAGATGGATTTGCACCTTTCTCAAAGGTATTTGCCCATAAGTGAATGTAATGAACCCAACAGAAATTTGAACCTGTCTCTGCAATTTCTCATTCTGAGCTCTGATCCATTACACCATCCACACCAGTACTGTAAAAGAAATTAAGTAAAATACCAGTGATGGTTATTGGTATCAGATGATCCATCATAGGAAAATATTCCTTAACACATTCTTAACATTAACTAGTTGGAAACTTTAGAAGAAAGAGAAAGCAAAGATTGGTAACGGTAAAACACTAACCTGGGAAATATAACATTAAGACTACCAAGAATTATGTCCATAATACAAAATGGACAAAGAAGAATAACTGGTCAAAGAGTTGGTGGTCATGTTTACATGTGTTCAGTCGGGCTGTTTAGTAGGAGGGAGGGGACAGTAGGAATAGTGGTGGTCATGTTTACATGTGTTCAGTCGAGCTGTTTAGTAGGAGGGAGGGGACACTAGGAATAGTGGTGGTCATGTTTACATGTGTTCAGTCGAGCTGTTTAGTAGGAGGGAGGAGACAGTAGGAATGGTGGTGGTCGTGTTTACATGTGTTCAGTCGAGCTGTTTAGTAGGAGGGAGGAGACAGTAGGAATGGTGGTGGTCATGTTTACATGTGTTCAGTCGAGCTGTTTAGTAGGAGGGAGGGACAGTAGGAATGGTGGTAATGTTTTCAAATAAAAGCTGATTTTAGTAGGAGGGAGGGACAGTAGGAATGGTGGTGGTCATGTTTACATGTGTTCAGTCGGGCTGTTTAGTAGGCGGGAGGGGACAGTAGGAATGGTGGTGGTCATGTTTACATGTGTTCAGTCGAGCTGTTTAGTAGGAGGGAGGGGACAGTAGGAATGGTGGTGGTCGTGTTTACATGTGTTCAGTACCAAGCTGTTTAGTAGGAGGGAGGGGACAGTAGGAAAATGGTGGTTCCATTTTTTTTCAGTAAGCTGTTTAGTAGGAGGGAGGGGACAGTAGGAATGGTGGTGGTCATGTTTACATGTGTTCAGTCGAGCTGTTTAGTAGGAGGGAGGGGACAGTAGGAATGGTGGTGGTCATGTTTTTCAGTCGAGCTGTTTAGTAGGAGGGAGGGGACAGTAGGAATGGTGGTGGTCATGTTTTTCAGTCGAGCTGTTTAGTAGGAGGGAGGGGACAGTAGGAATGGTGGTGGTCATGTTTACATGTGTTCAGTCGGGCTGTTTAGTAGGCGGGAGGGGACAGTAGGAATGGTGGTGGTCATGTTTACATGTGTTCAGTCGGGCTGTTTAGTAGGAGGGAGGGGACAGTAGGAATGGTGGTGGTTGTGTTTACAAAATTTTACTCTCAGGGATATTCTCCCCGGCATTTTGGACAGGAGAAAAGCTTTGTCCCTTGTTTCCTGTTTAGGATTGAGTTTCTGGTTCCTTCTAAAATCTACTTCAACTCTATACTTCTGATATCTCCACCTGAACTCTGAAATTTTATTTACTAATTATTTCATTAATATTAAATTCACCAAGCATTCTTTCCTCACTATGTCTCTACAGTTTCAATCTCCTCGGTCTTTTGAACAGGAGTAGAGGTTTATCCCTTGTTTCGTGTTTAGGATTGCATTTCTGGTTCCTTCTAACATCTCTACCTAAACACTGAAATTTTATTTACTATTTATTTTTCTTTCCTCAGTAGGAGTAGATAGGTTTACCTATTGTCTGGTTAACATTCCTTTCCAATCGTTTTTGTACAGGAGTAGAGGTTTATCCCTTGTTTCCTGTTTAGTATTGGGCTTTCAGTTCCTTCTGAAAACTTTTTCATTCTCTTTCACTCCCAGTAGCCCCTTGTGTCTTAGTGGCATTATTGTCTTGCATGGGGTTGAATTGATAAATAAAAAAGAGAGAGAGAGAGACAGCAGAGGTCAATCTACCGTATTCACTACAAAGTACAATTGACAGATAATGGTAAGAAGAAAAACAACTGGAAAGCTAAAAAATGTCGACATAACCATCGTTGCCCAAAATCCACATTGGCTTGACCTTGACAAATGACAAGAAGAATGTGGGTAGTAGATCAGAGAAATTCAGGGAGAAGTGGTTTTACCAAAACCAGGATTAATAAGGTCAGGAGAGGTTAGAAGAATGAAGGATTCAGTGCTTTGCAGGATCCAAAGGCTGAGCTTATCAGTTTTTGAAATGGCAGAGTGCTTATCAATGCATACAAAAACATGGCACAGAAAATGCCTGTACTCTTTTGGAATCTTTGAATCTAAAAATAATATCTGCTAGGCAACAGCAAAAAGATCAACGAAAGATAGTGGGGTGGGGGAAGGAGAGAGAGAGAGAGAAGATAACATGGCCTTTGTTGCCCAGCCTAGACATTGGCCTGAAGTTGTGAATGAAATTCATTTATTTTTCTTTCCTCAATAGGAGCAGATAGGTTTGACTATTGCCCGGTTCACACTCCTCCACATGCATTTTTTTTTTATATGGATGAACGTAAGGAGAATGACAACTGAAGGTGAGGATGAAATAAAAAAAAGGTGAGTTGAAGCTCAATGATATACTTCTATGTGCTGTGTCCCTTCAGGACAGAAGTGATCATGGCTCTCTCCAACTTCCACCATTCTGTGATCCATTCAAACAAGCTTATCAGGTAAGTAGCTTGCTGCCTTCCCCCTCTCTTGGCCTCAATATGCCCTGTAAAGGTTAAGTTTTATGAACCTCCTTCCTCATTGTGGGTACAAGTGATTTCAGCTATTGTTTCCTGATTTTGCCATCCATTTAAACAAGCTTATCAGGTAAGTGGCTCACTGCTTTCTCCGATCTCTTACCCTCAATATGCCCTGTAAGGGTTAAGTTTTCCAAGCCTTCCTTTCTCATTGTGTGTCCAAGGAACTTCAGCTATCTTTTCATGGAATTCAGAAAAAATCATTTCTGCCAAAATGAGAATTTAATAAGGCTAGAATATTAACTGAAGAAAGATTCATTGCTTTTGCAGGGTCAGAAAGTTAGTGTTTCTAGTTTATGAAATGGCCAGGTTAATCAATGCTTACAAAAAATCTGTTGCACAGAAAAAGCCAGCTGGTCATGAAGGAAAAAATAATGTTAGGCTTTTATGAATTTGCTATAAATGTGCAAAAGAAAACACGTTTGAAAATAGAGAAGGAAATTAAATTAATATTTAATGTTCCTTCCAACAGGACTGCAAGTGTCAAACGCTTGAAAACAACCTCAGTAAAAACCCATTACACAAGAGTTCTGGGATTATGGGAACAAAACTGCCACCATTTTTGATATTTAAAAGCAAATCTCGACTTAAATTAATAATTTCAAAAGATGCATTTATCAAAGACACAAAAAAGAATGGAAGTTTGGATTTTTAAAAAATCCTACAAGGGATATCATGCCTGTCTATACTTCTGAGATGAGGTGTTATAACTATTTTCACTATTTACATTATTCAGACTCTTGTCTTCATCTTTATTTTCATATTCACGACTTTTCAGCCGTTGTACACTTCAGTCTTCATCAGGTGATATATGTTGGAGTTTCAAATTGAACCCCTTGTTTAGTCCACAGGGGCAGATTGTTCTAGTTCCATGTGCCATGCCTTTTTCTGTGTTCAATCCCTGACCACAGCAGAGGTGAACAAAAACTTGAAGAGTTAAGTTACTAAAGGGAATTAACCGAAACTGAGATATCCACAAAAGGCATGGCATGTGGAATTAGAATAATCTACCCCTGTGGGCTAAATAAAGGGTTCAGTTCAAAATTCCAATGTATATGACCTAAAGATGAGGACAACAGTGAATAATGTAAATTGTGTATGAAAGATATCATGATTTTCACATACAGTGTATCAGAAATAACCTCTAAAAGAATTAATCTACCAAATGTGAACAAAGTAAACAGATATTTTTTTTTGGTATGGAATTTAAATGGCCATGCTTTTGCAGATTAGCACAAGAAATCATTTGGAATGCAAAAAGCATAGAAAAGAAAAAAAAAAAAAAAAAAAAAAAAAAAAAAAAAAAAAGTAAAAAAGGTGTACCCTTAATCAAAACTTGACCCCCTCCACTTTAGCAAAAGAGAAACAAAGATGGAAGAGAAATGTGGATTTTGAGAAGGTTGTGAGATCTGTCTGCCGGCATGTACAAACAATTTGAAAGCATGCTTCCCTTTCTCCAAAATGGTAGAGAGTAGCGGTTATTTGGTAAGCTCAGATAAGTTCCACATAATTGGCAGGGAACATTCCATAATCACCGTTGGGACCGACTCCATTCCACCATCCTTGGTCCACCATCTCAACATTGGTTATTATATCGTCTGGATCAAAAGAGATCTCCGTTTCATCGGCTGGAAAAGAACAAAGAGAAAAACGGGTCAAAAAAAAAAAAAAAAATAAAATAAAATATATATATATATATATATATATATATATATATATATATATATAATTATAATAATATTTTTGTTTAAAAAATATGATTCCTTCGCTACATAAGAGTTCTCATGTTTCAAAAACGAGAGCCGAAATCATCCAAATAATTATTAAAATTAAGTTGAATTGTGGTGTTTAGTCCCGTTTCATCTTCAAACGAAATTTTAGGAATTATGCACCCAACGTGTTCGTTTCTATTTTCTGCATACCTATGCACTTATACATATATGAAATATAAAGAAATTTGGGAATTAAATTAATTTTGTAATTAATAAGTTATAAAACAAGGGAAAAAAAAAACTGTAATGAAGTCAATTAAACCATATATAAGTAGATGCCCTGTTTTTGTAAACAGTGTAAATTATGTCCCCCGGCTGAGAGATTCAAAGAGAGAAACATACATATATACACACACACACATCTATGTATGTGCATTTATATATATATATATATATATATATATATATATACACACACACACACATACCTATGTGCAGAGACACACACATATATACATATACCTATGCATGCACACAAATATATATACACACAAGCGCGCACACACACACACAAATATATATACACACACATAGGCAAGCGGACACACAAAGAAGTGAAAAATGCAGGCACAAGGTGTAAAAAAAGAAATTAAAACTTACCAGCCTGGTAGTCATAGAGAGCTCGAACACAAACGCCTTTGTCATCGGGGGGACTGACAGGTGATTCAGGCTCCTCCTGAACAACTGGTGTTGGTTGCTGACGAGCAGGAGATGCTGACATAGAAAAAAAAAAAAAAAAAAAAAAAAAAAAAAAAAAATCAGAATTTTCTTATAAAAAAATCGCAATAATTCTAGCATTGCCAGAATCTTTAATAGGACATTAGCCAAAATGTCATGGTGGGAATGGGAATAAAAGGTAACCAGGTAGAAAATCTACAGTGTATTGACAAGGTTTCACCTGAGAATTTTGGATAACTTTTTGATACAAATGGTGAAACCCTGAGCAAGTCTGAAAAAAAAAAAAAAAAAAAAAAAAAAAAAAAAAAAAAAAAAAAATATATTATATATATATATATATATATATATATATATATATATATATAGACAGGGTTCGTGGGGAAGTTAATAGAATATATTATTCCTTTTGCTGAGTTCAATCCCTAGCCACAACATAGGTGAACAAAAACTTGTAGAGTTGAGTTGCTAAAAGAGAATTAACTGAAAAACTGAGATATATAGAAAAGGCATGGTATGTGGCGCTAGAACAATCCATCCCCGTAGATTAAATAAAGGGTTTGGTTCAAAATTCTAACATATATGATCTAAAGAAGGCTGGAGTGTACGATGACTGAAATGTTGTGAATATGACAATAAAGAGGAGAGGTAACAGTCCGAACAGTGTAAATAGAATTCTTCATCTCAGAAATATAGACAGATCTTAAAGAAGGCCGGAGTATGGAATGTCTGAAACATTGTAAATATGGTAATAAAGATGAGGACAACAGTCCGAACAAAGTAAATAGTGTAAATAGTTACAATACCTCATCTGAGGAATAGAGACAGATGTTGAAGGTGAATATGGCAATAAAGATGAGGACAACAGTCTGAACAATGTAAATAATTACAATACCTCATCTTGGAAAAAATAGACAGATCCTGAAGAAGGTCAGAGTGTACAATGTCTGAAATGTCATGATTCTAACAACAAAGATGAGGACAACAGTTCAAACAATGTAAATAGTGTAAAAAGGATACCATGGTTTTCACAAATTGCATATCAGAAATCACCTCTATATATTATTATGTGCAGGTTTCATTTTTGAGAAATCAGTTGACCAAATTTGGGATCATTGAGTCAATGCAAATGATCCATTCCATAGTATATGCTTCACCAGTTTTGAATTCAGTTTTCCTTCTCCTGGACCAGTTGCCACCCAAGGCTATAGAACCCAGTCTGTCCTACTATTTACTCATAGCTAGGGGGAGAAGAGGTGGATTCATATCTTTCCCAAGGGTATTAGCATGTAAGGGAATGTAATTAACTTGACTGGAATTTGAACTCAGCTCTCCGATTCCTCAATTTGTGTTCAACTCTTTTTTTGTGGAAAAAGACATATTTTTTGCGTTCAATATTTTTTTTGAGAAAAAGGTCACATTCTTTGTATCTCAAAAAATTTTTTGTGTCGTTTCTTTTTAGAGAAGAAGGACACCTTTTTCTTCTGTCTTCTTCAAAATGGCAGACTTTTCTATAATATGCATTTTAGCCATGAAATTGCAATGATGGAAATTGACTACAATTCTTAAGTGTTCTCTCATAAAGAGAATCTGCCCAATGAACCCTGACTGAATGCTGTGACAAGTTGATAGTTATATGCAGAAAAAGATTCTATGAAAATGAAGACAACTTCTGCATCAGATTAATTGTTAAAAGATACTGGCTATTTGTGTCCCTTTCTCATGCCCCTGAGAAAAGGGAGGCAACTTCAAGGTGTTGCCTGGATGGAGGATTTAATGCTTTGTCCTGGTTAAGTCTTATTATACTGGCAGCTATAAAAATCATTCCTGATATTAGTTTTATAAAGCCACTACTGCATTAACATGCCTTGGAGTAGAACTCACTGCTGAAGCTTCTACTATATCAATTAGGCTACGAAGGCTCAACAAATAGACATCATCCAGATTAGACATCAGTTCATTTTTTCTTCACTGATCTCCATTATTCCACTAGGCGAATTTTGTTTATTTGCACTAATAAACTGACAAATGTGATGATAAAGAAAATTAAAATGAAAGAAATACTAGTCAAAAATGAATAATTTTGTTTATTTCATCTAATAAATTCAGACAACTTAAACTATTACTGATTATTTTGGTGGAAAAGAAGAAATAAAGATGAAAGAAATACTAGTCAAAAATGAATAATAATTGCCAAGGCTTCATCTAAGAAATTCAGACAACTTAAGATTATTACTACTTGGTGGAAAAGCAAAGAAATAAGATGAAAGAAATACTAGTCAAAAATGAATAATAATTGCCAAGGCTTCATCAAAGAAAAAATTCAGACAACAAAAGACTATTACTACTTGGTGGAAAAGCAAGTTACCAAATAAGATGAAAGAAATACTAGTTGAAAATGAATAATAATTGCCAAGGCTTTATCTAAGAAATTCAGACAACTTAAGACTATTACTACTTGGTGGAAAAGCAAAGAAATAAGATGAAAGAAATACTAGTCAAAAATGAATAAAATTTCATCAAAGAAATTAAATTTAAAATATTACTAAAAATGGAAGAAAATAAAATGAAAAAAATACTTTCAAAAAATGAATAATAATTGCAAAATTTTCATCTAAGAAATTCAGACAACTTAAGACTATTACTATTTGGTGAAAAAGCAAAATAAAATTTGAAAGAAATACTAGTGAAAATGAATAAAAATTCATTAAATTCAAATAACAAAAATAGAATCAAAATTATTTTAAAGCCAAACCTTTTCTTTTGATGGTCATTGTGTCATATTCTTCAGGTTCTTCCTCCTCCTCTTCTTCCTCCTCTTCTGATTCTTGTCTTCTGGGGAAGTTGTCCCTGATTAAATTTATTGCAGTAGCAGCTGGTACTGGTTGAGGTGAAATTGCAGGAGCTGGCTCTGGGGATACAGGTTCTGGAGAGATGGCTTCAGACTCAGGAGAGGTCACTTCTTGTTCATACTCTTCAAAAGACTTCTGGGGTTCTGGTGACCGAGGGCTGATTGAAGCTGTGGAATCTTCATCTCCAGAATTGCTGTAGCTGTTTCGAATCTTCCTACAGAAGAAATGAGACAGGGGGGGGGGGGAAATAAATAGAGGAAAATTATTCCATAAATTTTAAAGTTAGTAAGTTTTTTAAATTATCAAAAACATTAAAAGTTTCCATTTTTCTTTGTTTCTGTTTTAAAAAACCAAACAACGATGACCAAAAAAGGAAACAAACAATTTAGACATGTCTGTATCTTAAAGTGAACTCTATCTGCCTTGTGCAGTAAGGTCTCTTCTGAAGGGTGACCAAGTTCTATCAAGGCCACACAACCAATTCAGCAGACATTCCAAATGGCTTGATACCTTATAAATAAATCTTTCTGCAAGTAATAATGTATGTGTGTTGCATTTTATCCACAGAAGGGGGGGTATTATTATTATTGTGTGTGTTTGTGTGTGTACCTGTATATAAGACATAAAATATTCAATATACAATTCCTTCCTGCTACTGTTGTTTCTACCAATTAGGTATCATCAGGCAGTAAACTTTACTCTGTGTGTATGAAAACATTGGTGGAGTAATGGATAGTGGCTCAAATTTAGGAATCTGAGAGCCAAGTTCAAATCCCAGTAGAGTTCATTACATTCACTTACATGTTGTACCCTTGGGAAAGGTAGGAATCCATCTCTCTTCCCCCAGTTATGGCCAAATAGCAACACAGACTGGGTTCTATGGCCTTGGGTGGCAACTGGTCTAGGAGTAGGACAACTCTGAATTCAAAACCTGAGGAGGGTTGTTCGGGGGGGACCTTGTAGAATGGGGTGTACGAGTTCCCTGCATTCACCTCTTACAAAAAGTGTGGTTGGTTCTGCACAAGCCTTCACCACTATAATCAAATCATATGTGTGGGTAGTCTGGCTGTTTGGGTTTAAGAACTTAGCTGCTGGATAATCATATGGCAAAAAACAACGAGAGAGTCCTTCTCTCTCTAATATATATATATATATATATATATATATATATATACACACACACATTTCATTGAATACAACATATAAGGTGCTTTGATTTAGTTTTTTATACAATTTCTCATGCGATCTAATAATTTTTTTTATTTTCAGATGATGAGTTATATAAAAACTGTCCAAATGTTCTTTTTATCCAAGCGCTTTTGGCTATACATTTAGCCATTTTCAAGGTTGAAATATATTATCTGTTAACAAGAAATAGTTTGTTGTATGTATGTATTTATATAATGTTTTCATTTTCAAAACATGGTCAAGATATTGTGTCCATGTTCATAGTTGAACATGGACACAATATCGAATGTATATGCTTATAAAGTTCTATAAATTTCAAAATTTGTTATTCCAAAATTCGCTTGAGGATGAAACAGAACTAGGTACTTTAATTTAATTTCTATAATTAAATTGAAGTTTTTTAGCTTCTATTTTTGAAACATGAGAAATCTTATGTAGTGATGGAATCATATTTTTTAAAAAATAATTATAATATATAAAACACTATGCACAAACTAAGGAAAATTTTCAAAGACAATGCCACAAAGATAAAATTTTGTAACTAATTAAGGAACTTTGAACTCATCATTTTTGTTTTTATCCTAAATCTATGAAATTATGTGGACAGAAGAGTTGTGAAAAAAGCAACAAAGAGAGGGATGCTCATCCAGAAGATGATATCTTTGAAATGGTGAAAACTTTGTATACATACATGACAGGTGGGGGTGAGGAAAGCCTGGTGTCAAATTCCGTTTGCCGAGATTTTTGCTCAAATAAAGCTCTATTGCTTTGTGCACGATTTGAAGCTAATGAAGCTGCTTCCTGAAAATGGGAAATATTGCAGACAATTATTCAAGAATGGCAAAATAAATAATAATATAAATATAAAAACAAGAAAGGGGAAATAAAAAAGATGAAAGTGTAAAAAAAAGGTAATAAATGAAAATAGAAAAAAAACAGATGAAATGAAGTAAGAAAAATAATAATAATATGAAAGGATAGAAGAAAAGACATAATAATGGTATGAAGGAATAGAAGTTTATTTTTTTTAATAATAAAAATAATGGTATGAAAGAAAAGAAAGGTATAATAATAATAATAATGGCATGAAGGTTTGGTTTGGTTTATTTTGTTGAATGGCATATCAACCTTAATGGCTTATTTAATGCCGACAACATTTTTAGGATAGATTCATATGAATAGAATATGTATTCTTTGGTTTAGATTGGTTTGGTTTATTTTGTTTTACAGCATATCAACCTCAATGGGTTATTTAATGCCAACAACATTTTTAGGATAGATTTGTATGAATAGAATATGTATTCTTTGGTTTAGATTGGTTTGGTTTATTTTGTTTAACGGCATATCAACATCAATGGGTTATTTAATGCCAACAACATTTTTAGGAGAGATTCGTATGAATAGAATATGTATTCTTTGGTTTAGATTGGTTTGGTTTATTTTGTTTTACAGCATATCAACCTCAATGGGTTATTTAATGCCAACAACATTTTTAGGATAGATTCGCATGAATAGAATATATATTCTTTGGTTTAGATTGGTTTGGTTTATTTTGTTTTACAGCATATCAACCTCAATGGGTTATTTAATGCTGACAATTTTTTATTGCTGGTAATATTTTGTTTTGTCAAAAATCTGTTCCTGGTAATATTTTTCCTTCAAAATTGTATTGCTGATAATTTTTTTTCAAAAAAGTATTGCTGATAATAGATAACTATTTGCCCATAGCTGGGACCCTAACAGGTGCTACCACCCCAGGTCACAGTGGACCTGGGAACACCAGCAATTAAGAGGTGGTTCCACAAAACCTCCTGATCAGAGACCTTGCTGCTGGACGTAGTTTAATTTTACCCAGGACGTGGATGTAGTTTAACATCTTACTGAGGATGAAATGGTATGAAGGAAAAGAAGAAAGGTATAATAATAATAATGGTATGAAGGAAAGGAAGAAAAGGCATAATAGCAATAATATTATGAAGGGAAAGAAGAAAATGTTTAATCATTGTAATAATAATGATATGATGGGAAAGGGGAAAAGGAGAAATAAATAGCAATATGAAAAAAATGACAAAGTTGATGAAAATTGATTGATATTTACGGCCGCTCTCTCTTTGCGCAGAGATTCGGATCTATTTCTCCGTTCCTCTTCATCTTGTTTGCTCTCAGCTTGCATGAGGGCCTGGAAACAGAAGAGATCCAAAAATCAAAAAATCTTCGAAGAGATCCAAAAATCAAATGATCCTCGAAGAGATACAAAAATCAAATGATCTTCGAAGCAGAAAAACATTTTGGTTTTATACCAATCACTAAACCAATGTAATGCCACTAGGACATTTTTTTTTTTTATTTACTTTTTCAATATTGTTAATAAATTTTTTTTATTTTATTTACCAATACCAACTGGAAATGAAAAATACAGAGATTAAAAATTACTGCCCAAATACACCCTATATATCACAAGGTTCCTAAGGAGATATGTGTCCCGTAGATTTTTTTTTTCAAGAATCTTTCAGTAATATTATTGGTCCTGACCTGGCATCTCAGCTTCAGTCCATTTCCCACTGCCATAACCTAGCTTCCCTGTGCTTTTCTATAAATGCTTTTATGGTAATTGTTTAGATGAACTCTTTGCTATCGTACCTAGACTGTATGAAGTTAAGCACAGTACTAGATAGTCAGCAAGGTCTCATCAATTCACATTTGAATTGGCGAGATCTATTGTCAACACTGAAACACTGCCAACATATTACACCACAAATGAGCAGCAATTCTCCAAAATAACAACCCAACCTTTCAAAGACATAACTCATCTCAAATGACAAATTGAACAAAAGGTGCACCACAAGTATTGAAATTAAATAATGAAATTTGACCAATGTAAAGAGTCACATGCGATAAAGTTCAAATATTTGAGATCTGCAATCACAAAAAGGTGGCCCAAATCTTTAATACACTCACCCATGACTGTCTTCTGACATTTTTCTGTAAGCCTTGTTGACCAGAAATTTCTTTAATTCTTTCTAACTCCCATCATTAGTTTCTTCAGCATTAAAGAACAATTCCTCACTCAGATTTAACATTAAAATTAAAGTTTAAATTCTTAAATAGTTTTACTAACTATGAACATTAAACATATGTTTTAATCAATGAGGTCTTAATTCATGCCCAGTAAATAATTATAAAGTTTGAAATTTTTCTTATTTATAATTTTTTTATATCAACTGTGATGTAAAAAAAGAACTCTCTTAACATATTTCCAAAAATTATTATTTTTTCAAGTGGCTTGCAAGATTTTTGGCTACTTCTACACTAGGCTACTGTCATATAGGACAATTTCTTGTAGGTTTCCCAGATTGATATACATCTGTTGTAGGCTGGAGGGCACAACAGCCAAAATATTGTGATAACAACAAAAAAATGAGATCAATAATCCAAATTCAAAATTGTGGAGAAGGCAATGGTAATCTCATCCATTAACTTTCCCCAAGAAATCATGTCAACTCTCAGATTACGAAAGAAAATGAAAAAAAAAAAAAAGAAAATGGAGAGCCTTGAACATTTATGCCCTAATGGAAGACGGCATTTTAAAAAGATGGGTTGATTAGTAGACAAGACTAGGCTTTCTAGCCTTGGGTGGAAACCAGTCTAGGAGAAAAAATTCTCTTAATTCAGAACTGTGGAGAAGGTAACAGGAAACTACTCCCATATCTTTCCCAAGAAGTCATTGCAATTTACAGAAAATTAAAATAAAAAGGAGAGCCATGATCATTGATGTCCTGAATGGACATATGGCATTCAAAATATCATGTACATTAGATTTAATACAATGAATGTAATTTCAGGTCACAATGAATGACTATAGAGGATAGACTTATTGGCAATATTTAACCTTCATGCTTGCAAAAAAAAAAAAAAAAAAAAAATCTGTGTGTCAAAAGAACAGTTATTCCCTTGACACTGTTATTATTATATGCACTTTTGACTCCCTCAGCAATGTTTTAAAAAGCAATGATTAGAATTTTAGTAAAACAAAAACACATGAAAATGGATTTATACATTTTTTTTATTCTTGAGAAGTGACAACAAAGATGTTAAACACTATTAGATTGAATAAAAATCTTGTTTTCATAGTTATTTATAAAATAGTAAATAATAAATATTGCATTCTATTTGGTTTACATATTTTGATAATTTTTTAATTTTTTAATTCTTTTCAAATTTATTTCTTTATAAAAAGGTAAATAATCTCTATAAAATGGTAAATAATAAATATTGCATTATTAAAGAATATTAAATAATACGGTAAAATTCTTAAATCTTGCAGTAAACATTAATGCTCGTAAAATGAAGAAAGAATTTTGAGAATTCATGCCAGATGATTAGAATAAAGTTGGAGAAATATTACAAGACAAGAATAAAGTAGATTTTTTATTATTTTTAACATTCAAAATATCCAAAATTTTAGTCCAGAAAATATTCCAAATTATTTCATTACTATTTCAAGACAATATTTTGGCTGGTGCCTTCTTCAGGTGTCTGTGAGTTGTGGTAATCTTTGAATCTCATCAATAACTTCTTAGGGTGTTAACTTTCATAGCCATTACAACATTGACCACCTGCAGCCAAGTGGGTTCCCAAAATGTAATGCTCCACATTACCTTGGATCTTTTTGGTTTAGATGAAAAATGAAGAGGGGTAGTTTGTCTGGACAGTGCAAGGTATTCATAGATCAATCACCAAGCCAGCAACCTGGAGTGGTCACTCCAGACTTATCACCTGGTGATCTTGACCAAAGTGTTACTACCATTATCTCACAAGATTGTCAATGTCTCTGAGACATCTGTCAAAATACTGATCAATATTTGTAATTGTACAAGTGACATGTGTCAGCAACTAGTAGATTACCATCATCTACTGTATCTTTATTTTAAGAGGCAAAGTAGCTCCTGTGTCTGCAGCGGACATAAAATGCTCAGAAACTAAAGTTGAGTAGACAAAAGATAAAGAAAGAGAAAATATAAGCATTCTTGTTATAGGTTAGAGGAGGTACAGTATAGTAATGGATGGCAGCTTGGATTGAGGAATTGGAGAGTTTGAATTCCAGTCAAATTCATTAGATTCACTTACATGCTAATATCCTTAGGAAAAGTACGAGTCCTCTTCTTCTCCCCCCAGCTATGGGTAAATAGCAGGACAGAGCGGGTTCTATAGCCTTAGATGGCAACTGGTCTACCGCAGAAAGAAGTGGCAACCTACTGCAGGAGAAAAAAAAAATCTGTCTCGTCAGTCATGTATCAAAAGATACATGATTGCTTAAGCATGTATCACACATGACACATAACTGAATGTTATAGGTTCCTCATTTATAGCGGCTCAGATTGAGGAATTGGAGAGCTGACTTTGAATTCCAGTCGAGTTTATTACATTCACTTACGTGCTAATACCCTTGGGAAAGGTATGAAGCCATCTCTTCTCCCTATGGGTAAATAGTAGTTTTATAACCTTGGTTGGCAACCAGTCTAGGAGAAGGAAAACTAACTTGGGGACTCTTCTCTTCTCTTCCAGCTAGGGGTTGAACAGCAGGACAGACTTGGTCTTATAGCCTTAGTTGGCAACCAGATTGCCACAAAAAGAAACGGCAACCTACTTCTGTCTAGTCAGTTATACATCAGAAAAAACATGATTGCTCAAGTGTGTATCACGTATAACACTTAACTGTTATATCAAACATAATTTTATCATTTATATTGACCAGCATGTGTTGTATACTAAACTTATCAGTTATTGCTTAATAAAAAGGTAACTAATTTGCATATTCAGTTTTAAAAATCAAATTTAAAAGAAATAACTTTTATTCAATCATAATCTGGGCTTTTCTGATAAAAATAAATAAAATAAAATTAACAAAATAATCACTGACTTATAAAAAGTCAGTGATTATTTTGTTAATTTTATTTATGTAATTGCTTAATTATTCAAATAAAGCCATTTTCTGCCTTTAAAGTGGAAACCAGCTCAGTATTTAGATCACAGCTTGATAGTAAAGGAAAAAATTTTGATTTTTAACAGTATATTGTAAGAGTCTAACAAATATTATAATAGAGGGTAGAGGAGAAACATCTCCAAGAAATATGTCCCATATAATGAAATGGTAAGACATTAGTGACAATGGAGTCTTCATCTCCCTGTCTTTTCATTATGTGGGAGGCATTTTTGCCACACCCTACATATTTGTTGGGTGGGAAGACTACCAAAATATTTAAACCTATGAAACTGCTTTATGACAATTTCACTAATACCATTTAATAACAGATACAAATCTCTGAAATAAAGAAATGGACCCTTAGTGTAGCGGAATAAATGAAAGAGACTTAGCCTGAAGAAAACTGGTTGTCACTACAAGTGATGTGTTAAAAAAATTTTTTTTAATTCTAATATTGTTTTTTGACATCTATATTATGTTGACTAACGTTCTCATTTTACTGCCTTTTTAGCTGATATCCTGTTATAAAATACAGTGTATTGAGGTTGGGGTAAGCACCTAAGCAATTGCTTTCCCAAGAACTATGGGGATAAGAAGCATAGGAGGGAAAGAGATGAGAGGTATCAAAATAAAACTTGAAAACCATAGCATGGCGGACAGCACAGCAACTTCGGGAACAAAATACCCATGGGATCAACTTCATAAGACACCAAATCTCGCCAACTGCTCACTGTTGGTTTTCCCGTCACTTTTATTGACAAGAGAGAGTTGAAAGAAATCCATATTGTGACAAGTTGCAGAGAATCTCGTATCTGAATATGCCAAGATGTTCTGCTACTAACGGGGAAAACATGGACGCAACTGGTTTTAACAGACATCCAAGGTATCAAAATAATACTGTCTCAGTTACCACAGCATGGTGGGCATCACAGCAACTTCAGGAACAAAATACCCATGGGAGCAAATTCATAAGACACCTAGTCTCACCAACTGCCCACTGCTGGTTTTCCCGTCACTTTTATTGACAGGAGATAGTTGACAGAAATCCATATTGTGACAAGTTGCAGAGAATACAGTATCTGAACATGCCAAGCTGTTCTGCTACTAATGGAAAAAACATGGCTAGAACTGGTTTTGACAGACATACAAGGCCTCTTTTGCAGTTATACTAATGCAGGTTTGCCCCATCTTCTGTA